GACCTTATAAAATACTTATTATTATTATATTATCCTTATGTTCACCTGTATGTGTTTACTGTAGTATAACAAGGTAAAATCACACTAAAGTCCACTAAAGCAGAGTGGAAACAGCATACTAAATGTGGAAATTCATGAAACAGCAAACTGAAAGAATATGAAAAAAAATATTTTCAAAGTTATTTTTTGTCAGTTTGTGTTGGTGTTATAAACCAACAAAAATACTGTACAGGATGCATAAATCATTAAAATTACAGAACATGTAAATTGTTGGAACAGTGTTTTGTCTGAGAATAATTTGTGAAAAGAAAAAATGCCAATTCCCAATTGCAAATCCCCTTCCTACACCCCTCCGAAATCTTCCCTTTCAAAGATAAGGGAAACTAAAGGACTCAGTAGACACAAAAAGAGCACAGCAAAATACTAATTATACTAAACAGTCTCTAGAAATTAAAAAAGTGGAAGGCCAGTCCTGTCATGTATCATCTAGCTAGTCAGTTGGTAACACATTAGGGTCTAGGATGTAGAAGGGACATAAGCAAGGAAGAGATTTTGAAATTACAATTCAAGTCACCTTTAGTCATTTGTTGTTCTTCTTACCCATCATGGTATTTTTGCTTTTCTGATCACAGAATTTGTCCTCCCTCTCTTAGTGCCCAGTATAATGATTGTTCAAGCAGTCAAACGTATTTATCAGTGGCTTTTCTATACCTTGAATTTCAGTGATTTATAGACTTGTACATAATTTTCATTTTTATAGTAATTACACTCTTTTTGTTTTTAATACTGTGTTGCTTATTTTATCCGAATAGAGTCGTCAAAGTAAGAACACTACTGCTTGTTAGTGACAATTACAATATTTACCTTAGTACAGTAAATAGACTTAGTAAAATGTACTAGTCAAGTTAGTAAAACTAAGAATGCAGATGCATTGACGAAGGGTGTTATGGGAGAATAGAGAATTTTTTCATAGAGAAAATCTCTCTGTAACTGCAAAAAAAGGGTCTGAAATGCATGCTTCCTTAGAATGAAAATTAATAAACTTGGTTTTTATAAATAGAGAGATGGATGTAATCTTTCATTAAAGTAATTGATAGAGGAGTATGAAATACAGTTCTTGAGTGAAAATAATGTTTGCCTAGATTAAATTAAAAGTCAGACATTCATGAGGTTCCCAAATCCCATAAATGGCTTTCTCTTTGGAAGAATACTGTCAGATGTACCCAAAGGAACCAATAGAAAACAGGTTTCTGGGTTGGAATTTATGATTGGTTGGTTGGTACATGCTTGATTTAATCCAGGCTTTGTACAGTTACTAGCACGTGACATTGTTTTTCTAGTGGATCTGGGGTATTAATGAAAAATCTTTCTTAATGAAGTGTCTCACTGTGTCACTGTTTTACATAATGGCATTATTACCAAATCAGTAAGGATTGATGACAAACTCTTAGTGAGGTGCATGTGTGTTTGTAAAGTTATATGAGGCAGAAACTAACTGTAACTCTGTGTCTATGAAGTATCACAAGAGTAAGATCCAAATGCAAAGTAATTTTATTTTCCAAATAGATACAAATTAATTAAATGAGCCACAGCTTTGTGGAAATTGTTCAGGATATAATGCTGTATGTATGGTACTGGTGCAATAAACCTTAAGATTTAAATTTGTATGTCTCTAGATTCTATTTTTTATCCAGGCTTTATGGCACTATACATACATTATGTTTACATCTGAAGCCTGTTCATCTGAAATGTGCTATTCAGTCAAAAAGCTTTGTTATACAACTCAAACTCAGTGTTCAGTCAAGAAGTGCACTAGTGAGTGGTAGAGTCAGCAACTCAATTATTTTTAACATATTTTTCAAAAAATATAAGCCCCTCAGAAACCTGCAGTGTAAGTTGTAGTGCACAGCCTTTGGCGGATATATACACAGTGAGATAAAGAAATCTTCAAAAGCCATTTCCTGTTGTATCTATTTGAAGCTCTGTTCTTTTCCCTTTTCGGTGGGAGCTGTGCTGTATAACTCTGTAAGGATTGGTCATGTAAGAAAGAAGCTTTAGTAACTTACTACAAATATAAATATTGAAAATGCCAACTTATAACAGATCTTATTTTTTCACGGTCTGATCCAGAAAAGCTTGTTTGCTGGTGATATAAGCTGATTTGGCTAACATAAATAGAAAAAAACAGTTTTGTGCCTATTTTTCAATCGAAATAATGGATTTTTTTTTGTTTGTAAACAAACTCCTTAAACTGAGCTCTTGCTTGGTCGTGACATATCAAAATATAATTTCTTGATTATTCTACTCTTGTACTATAATACTATTTTGCTGTTTCACTAAGATTGTATCTGTACATTCACACTTAAATAGGATTTATACTATTTGTGTGGTTGAAGTAAAGCAGAACAAGTTATGTTTACTGTCGAGCATTAAATAATGTGTTACATAGAGTATAACAAGTACATGCACTGCAGACTTTATTGCAAATATATTAAACTGCTCTATACCTTTAAATAGGTACAGCAGGCAACATTAAGAATGATTCTCCTTTAGTAATGCAGAAATCTATAGCAAAGAGAAACTATAGTTGTAGGACAGTATTTTAATTCATGGGGGTACAGGAGGGAACAACATATACAGAAAAATCACCACTACAGCTCAGGTCAGTTGTCAACACATTAGTAGGGACCAGTGTGAGAAGTGACAAGCCTCAGTTAACTGTATACAGTTATTTGCTAAATTTATGTATTTGCAGAAACTAGTCAGGTGAACAACACAAAACCATAGACTGCACATAAAAGCACCAAGTGAAATCTGGCAATGTTGATTGATGCTCAACTATAGGACAACATACAGTACATCTATGAAGTTAGCATTAGCCTTCAGCACCTATTACAATGTTTCCACCCTACTCAAGAGGTTGGTGGCAGTACTGATGATTATTTCAGTCTATAACAGTCAAATACTGTTATATATCTCATACTGGATTATGAGATATATGGTTGGTAAAATTTTTATTAATGGTGAGGATGGAGGACTATTTCAATGTTGTTTATAACAAAGTACTGAAAGATTACATAGAAGGACTACTAGTTATGTGGCATTATTCATTAAAAGGCAGATGCTTCAATACATCAATGTTGGTATATATTAATGACTAGAATGCTCGAGCAGTCAAATACAGGAACTGTTTTTTTTATTTATCAGAATTTTAAACTTGTATTTAACCTGACAGCAGTGTTCTAAGCCAAAAATAATGTTATTGAAATTAATATAGTGTGACAAATCCTTATAATGATGGAACCTTAATTTTTGGACAAAGCTATTGCAATATTTTTCCTTCTTTAGGTGCCTTTAGGTGCTACAGTATGTATTATTACATATACTGCTACTGTATTGCAAAAGAACAGCATTACAGACAAAACTTTTAATGTCATCACATGGATGTGGTGCTGAAACTTTGAATTTTCATTATGTATTGTAATATAACATTTTTAAATCAGAAAAATACATGTAAATTCTATAATAAGGGAACTGGGTTTTTAGCATCTATGAGGTAAGTTGTGTTTCCGCATGAATTTGTCTTGTAACCCATTCAGGTTGATCCTGTCTCTTCTGGAGTCTAAACTTCAGTCTCAGCAGTCCCTTTCTCTTCTGTCCAATGGCACAAATACCTGTCTTGAGGAGTGCTGCTTTAATTTCTGGCTTGAAATTTTAAATAAAAAAAAAACATGAATTTATATGCTTATGTCAGATTACACAGTTTTGTTTTTGAGCTGCAATCTACAGTGTTTTTCTAATTTACCATAATAACCTCTTTAAAATAGCTGCTTATACACAGTGGATTGCATTTGGGAATTTAATTACCTAGACTGAATGGCCGCTCTTTGGTATACTCTTGCTTATGTTGTCACATTCATTCTTATGGGCTGATTCACGTAAATAGATTGATATCTACAATATGCAGTATGCATAAAGTAAGGCTTTTAGGTTTCTCAGAAACTGGAAGATTGTGTTCATTTTGGACCAGCTTTTACAACTTTAGGATTAGTATTTACGTATACAGCAAGCACGTAACCTTTCTGCTTCATAGTGCATTGTAATTATTATTTAGTATACATATTTTATTATTTTAAAGGTAATAAGTGAACCTTGGCATTTTGTTTTCATGCAATTCAGCAAGCCTAATATTAAACATACAGTACTATTCTACATTTAGTGCTGCATTTATTATAAGTTTAGGTCATTTCTTTCCAGTGACCTACAGTAAGTCAAGATGGACAATGATAAAGATGTCAGAACTTTCACATAGCCCCCATCTGGTTTTCTGATCTGTGTTTACTATCACCTTGCATTACAAGAATATTTGCTTTATTTCCTGTGAAGCCAGCCTGTAGTTAGGATTGTAACGACCACTTCCTTCCATGGTAAGATGAATAGATGCAATGTTCTTCATACATGCTTCATGTTGTGTTGCTTTTAAGTCTAGTGGTGGGTTTCTTTCACAAGCTGCACTTGTTACCATTCGTTGACTAAACTACAAATCTCATTCAATGCACGCAGTATATATAAAGACGTATATACAAAGTAACACTGTGATATTTTGCATTTATTGTATTTTTCAAATAATTTGTCACGCATTACTTAGCCAAAATCGAATACATTGATTGTTATAACAGTTGATTATTTTTTAGTTATGGGGTTCACAAATTCACACTAATCTACATTAGTTTCATTAGTTTATATATGTTTCCAGATTGCATTATTCCCATTAAATATTAGCTGAAATAAAAATCTGAATAAAATGCTGATTTTGTTTTCCACTTGATAAATTTAACCTGTGAAAAATGTCATTTTGTAAAATTCTGCTCCCATTGTATCAGAAAGTCTACTAAAATCCTACATATAATTTATGTTTCCCTGAAAATAAATGTGGTAAGTATTAAATTGTACATTGTTTAGTTTCATTGTCCCTACTGTATATATCCTTTTTTTTTCAGGTTATAGAAACCTTATCGAAACTTTCTCATACAGCGATAGCACAACAAACAGGAATAAGGTAGGCCTGAGGAAACTTTTTAACAACTTGTAGAATTGAAGAAAATGAGCACCACACTAATTGAGCTGTAAATAATTTATGGACACAAGTATTAGAATACAATTAAATATGAATATGCTTTATCTTTTCATCATTTTAGGGTGTCATCTTGCTCTCAATGTGGATCCTGTTATGGATTTGAACCAAATCATATTCTGGGTGGAATGCCCTACATGGTTTTAATGTGTGCAGCCTCCATTACAAGATTTTTAAATGATTTTTAATATTATATAATATAATAGTGATTGATAATGATTTTTTTAAAAGGTTTTTACAGTGTATTTTGTTTTACAATAGGTCTTTCCCAACAGAAGAAAGCGTAGAGGATGAAGACATCTACAAAGGCTTGGATGAGTTAATAGAGTATGTGTGAAATTTATTTTAAAAGCGTGCATTTGTGGCTGTAAATCACAGAGCTTTTAACGTGTGTTTTACTGAGAGAGACAGTACTGGGACTGCCCGGCATACTTTGAAAACGAAACAAAATAACAAGCAAATCAGAGGTCGATGAAACTTAATTGTTCTTTTGGATAATCTTTAATTGTATTTATGATGTTGTAATGGTTGAGATGTCATTCTTTTTAGTTTACCCCCTGTTCCAGGCTATTACACAAATGAAGTAAGATAATTTAAAATAAGATTGATTTTTATGATACCATTTACCGACTGCCATCACAGGATTTAGGCACCCACATTCTTCAGTAATACTAAAAGGAAGCTGTAGTTTCAGATTTACTTTCTCTTGGAGCTATATTAGAATTTGCAATTGAATTCATAATCAAAAGAGCAGACACCCACATAAGTACAAAGAAAGTTAAACATTAAAAGTCCCTGACTGTCACCTGGATGGGGGCTGTTAGCAGTGGGGGAACTTTCAAGATATGAAACACAGTACTTTTTCAACCTTGTCAGTGCACCTGAGGGTCAGTAGAACACACATTAATAACCTTAGTCAAATTACAAAAAAGAAAACTTTGACTGTGGACGCTAATCCAGTTTGAGTTTGTTACTGTTGTGCTAAATATTGCTTTTTATTAGCAAAAATACAAAAGTCGTTTCAATTTTATTGGTGACTCCATGAATTGACAGGCAGTCAAACTACCTGTACCTGTAAACAAATGTCTGCTTCCTGGGGCTCATCTGTGTAATGCAGCCTTAGTTTAGGTGGGTAGCTGCGTCAGCATGCGTAGGCTGCAAAGGAACAAGTAATAGGTTTATTCCATGCTGAAAAAAAGAAGAGAGAAAAAACACAACATTTCGGCCGTGGAGCCTTCTTCAGTGACTAACATAGTATATATAATGTACAGTATATAAAATAAGCTTCTTTCTGTGTGTCTCATGGAGAGCAAGCTGGGTTATGCAAAAAGACAAATTCCTAATGAAAGCAATTGCATAGGGCTTGTAAAGTGATCGTATCTTATATATGTTTAACTCATGTATAGCTGCCCATAACATATTTATAATGAGACATTAAAATGCAACAAATCCTATATTTTGTTTTATGCCTAATAGTGTATATTTTATGCCTTGAGTGTGCTAAAAATGTTCCATTCTTCTTGAGATAGCACATCTACCCAAAGGTTAAATCTTTCTCTTTTGGGGGAGATGCATAACCAGTTAAACTCCTTTTTTAAACTCCTGATGCAAATCAGGTAGGATATTCACTAATTGGTGTATGCACTGGCTGTCAGAAATTGCCTATGGCTTTGTCCTGACACTTCTTGTAGCAGAAACTATTTGATCATAAATCAGAGACATTTATTGGCAAATAACATGCTCAGCCATAAAAACCAGGCTTTGTATCTTGATTTTGACTACAGGAAACCTTAATAATCTTATGATCTAGGTGGCAGATGAAGGTGTCAAAAGTACTATTTTCTTTTTCTCATGCTTTACATTTATGTCTCAAATGTTGCCCTTGTTAACACATCACAAGTTTGCAGACCTTATTCTTGTACTTAAGGTTACAATACTGCACGTTATTGAAACAGATTATTAAAACAGATAAAGTAGTAAAAAGTGTAGGGAAATGCCAGTGAAGATTTTTTTTCCATTTATTTGGAAATATATTGTCAGTTATTTGGTCAGATCCTATTAACTGTGATATAGAGATGAAAAGTAGCAGAGGTTGTTTGGTGTAGCTCACCTAACCTAGAATGGCGGCCCGAGCAAAAGGATGCAGCAGACTGAACCCCTCACCTTCAAGGGGAATTGTTACATTCCATATCCCTCCTCTAGAGGGCACTCCTACCCCTTTCGGTTATGATAAGTTTCCATTATTTCCTGGTGCATCTCGTTTGGATTTCGGGTTAAAAGCCTAGCGTCTCTGCAGTTCCTGGCTCAGTATTGGAAGATATACGCCACAAGGCTTGCCTGTTTTCTGGGTTGTCCGAAGGCAGGCCTTTTCCCTGGCGTCCTGACCGCCTGGGTCCGGGATTCAGAGCACCTGGTCCCATTATGTTTTTAGTTCCTGTTCCTGTGCTGGTTCCGACCCGGATCCCATTTTTAACTGTTTGTCTTAGATGGATCTCCCTGCTCTTGGATTATAGACTACGCCCCGACTTCCCTTTTGAATTTCCTTGGATTTGGTTGCTTCCACATTTCCCCTGTGCACCTGATCACTACAGTCACCGCCCCCTGTCTTGTCAACCATTCCTAACCCCGTTGTACCTTCCTCCATCGTCTTTTACAGATTAAACTGCCACATAGGGTCTTTAATAACACTCCACGGGAGTCTGAACCGGCTCCTGTGACAGGAATGAGCTAGGGAGCTGCTTAAAGGGTGTAGATGGGGTGGCAGGAAGGAATTGTGAAAGGGATGAGCTAAGAGAATTTCAGGAGGTAAGATATACAGTATGTACAGTGCAGTCTGTAAGGATTTGGACAGTGACACAAATTTGTTGTTTTTACCCAAGCAGATTGGATCCGAAATTAAACAATGACTATGAAGTTAAAGTGCAAAATGTCAGCTTTAATTTGAGGGTATTTACGTCTATATTGGGTGAACCATACAGGAATCACAGCGCTTTTTATACATAGTCCTCCCATTTTAGGGACAGTGACACAAGGGAGATATACCAATATATTTAGATGGCTGTAGTCATTGCAATAAATATTGCAACCTTAACTGAAATGTACAGAACACTTCTTGAAAGTAATATTTCAAAAAACATTCAGGTACTGGTTCTGTTTACTCTTGAAGTTTTCTAATACATTCAGACAGAGAAACATTCCCAAGGCAGCCATTTGTAGTCTGTTTGTCAGATTAGAGCTCATTGCTGTGGAACATCCCATGCTCTAAACAAGAATTTGGCAAGTGAGCCTCTGCGCATGAATTGAATTCAAAGTATCTCTCATCTTCCCTCACATTGGCCAGTGTCTCCTGGCATCTTGAATAAATGGATGAGCAGGTGTTTTATTACAATACACAGATAGTGTTAGTTGATGAGAAAAGCCTACATCACAGTCACACGGCAATACCCGAAACATATTACTTATTTAAATAATCTTATTACACTTGCAATCCTTCCAAAGATAATTTCCTGAAATATGCTTTAAGCATGTTCAGTTTAACTAAAAAAGGAACTCAGTGACATTGCACAAACCTTGTATTCTCAGAATGAAAATTAAATTGGTTTGAAAGACATCAAGTCAGAAAATATGTCAAAATAATATATATATATATTTGATAGGCACTAGTGTCTTTCATTTGGACAAGCTAAGAATGCTGTGTAATTCCTACATATATATTCCTGGGATTCTAAAGAGATTTTGGCTTTACACTGTTCAAATAGAATACAAATAAAAATAGCTCCTTCTTGAAATATTTTTGTTATGGATTTAAAGAAAACAAATTAGCTGTTGATGGAATGTTGTGCTTTTCTATTTTAGCGAAAATGGTGTTGAGGATGAAGAAGATCTCTATGACTGTGTGTATGGGGATGATGAAGGAGGAGAGGTTTATGAGGACCTGATGAAGGCCGAACCTCTTCCCCAACCAGTAGGAATGAGTTATTTTACACCTTACCTTTTTCTTTGTTACTAGTCCATACTAATCCATACTAGTTACTTCTTCCATTTTCACAGTAAGTTATATTTTCCAAACTGAACACGCCCCCCACTTATTTGTATTTGTATTATCTAATAGAAGTGATAAATTATCCCTTTCCATTTTGAAAGTTCATTATGATATATTGTAGTAAAATCAGAGTATTCTTTGTGAAAACTGTTGGAAAACTTAAAGTAATAAATCAAAGCAGAACATACAAAAATACAAAACTGTGGTATAGTTAAGTATACTGTATGTATGGTAAGACATGGATAAACCATGAAAAAAATCCAAATATACTGTAGTTATTTTAAATTACAGTTCTTATTGCAAACCACTTAAGGTTACAAGAGTGATAAGGTTACAGTTATATGATGGTGGATTGTTTTGCTAAATAAAACCCTTTTCAGTGATAATCCTTCATACAGTATATCCTTTGAAATATTAATAGTAATTTACAAGCAATTAGCATCACTCATGAGTCTCAAGTGAGTAAAAGCTGAAGATAAAGAAATGACATAAATAAGACATTACCACTGAGTGTGCCTTTCTAAATATCATGCTTTTTTTTCAAATTGCAGAAACAGGTTGAAACCGACATTCGTAGCTGCTGCCTTTTAGAAATCAAACAGACAGAAGAGAAATATACAGAAACTCTGGAGTCCATAGAACGAGTGAGTGTTGTTTTCAATGACTGCACTAACTCTATACATGTGGGATAACGTTTGGATTATTCTGTAAATTGGTGCATTCAAGTCAAATGTCTACAGGTCAGTTATAATGTTCAGGTGCACCATCAGTTCAAATACTTGATGAAACACAGACTGGCTGAACCATTGCACTTGGTCCACTCAATCTGTGAAACTACCAGACGCCAGATGAGTGATAATATTTGAAAGTGAACATGTTTAATGCACCATTGCCTATAGAAGTGAATGTCCAGTTTAGTATGTTGACCAAATTTCTCCAAGATGCATTGTTTTTATGAAACAGTTGTTTGAATCAGCAAATGAA